GGGCAGGCGGGCACGGCCCGGGCACACGCGGGATGCTGTTTGTCCCTGCCTGGGTCACATCACACACGGGACTTTCTGTCCCTGCCACTGTGAAACACAGATGCTGTCTGTCCCTCCTGGGGTCATACACGGGACTCTGTTTGTCCCTTCCAGGGTCACAATTAGCACCTTCAAGAGCCCAGGGCTCAGTGGAGCGCTGTCCTGTGCCTGTCCCCCTGTCCTGATGCCGCCTCTGTCTGTCCCTCCTCAGCAGGAATTTCCCAGCATGCAGGAGCTGTGGCACGGACAGGAGCTCCTGATCTCCCCTGTTTTCCATGCAAATTCCAGAGGGAAGGGGCTCAGGAGCTGCCTCTGTCCGGTTTGCCATGCAAATTCCAGAGGGAAGAGGCTCGGGCAGGGCAGGGCTGTGCTGGCCCCACACTTTGCAGAGGACAGGAGGAAGGGCTGAGCTCTGGCTTTGCTGCATCACTCACTTGCCCCCAGAGATCTGCACTCCTCCCCTCCCCGCTGGGCACTGCAGGCCCCAAACCTTCACCATCCCCTATTTGACCCCAGAACTGGGCTCTGTCCCCTGCACAGAGACCCTGAGGCCAGAGAGCTCCTCAGACACTGCCCACAGCACACACCCAGCACCTGCTCATTGCCACCAAATTTGGGAACCAAACCCAAAAATCCATTGCACTGAAGGGTCCTGCTGGGACCCCTTCCCCTCCTGCCTTTTCCATCAGTCACAGCACCCTGAACTCTCCTCCTGCTGTGGGGCCCCATCCTCATGGCAGCCCATGGAAGGGGCACCAAGAGCTTGGTTCCCCACATTTTCTGATGTCATTAAACACCAAAACACAGCAGGCAGAAACCCTCAGAGCAGCACAGGGAACTGCCAAATTCCCCCAGATAACGTCAGCTCCCGGCCACAGAGAGAGGAAGGGCCAGGTATGACCCTGCTCACACAAAGCCCTCAGTCAGAGGACTGGGGAAAAAAGGGAAGGACCAAAGTGAAGCAGAGAAAGAACCTCTTGTGTGGCAGTTGAGGGACAAAGCAGCCCTTTGTCCCTGTGGGCTGGGCTCTGGGGTTTACAGGTATTTTGAGCCCTACCTGGTCAGTTCAGTGCGTGGGTGGGGTGCAGGGAGGTTGTGAAGCAGCTGGAATCTTCCTCCCATGGAAAAACTGTCTCTCAGGAGATCCCTGATACCCCGAGGGCTGGAGCCCCTCTGGAGCAGGCTGGGAGAGCTGGGGGTGCTCACCTGGAGAGGAGAAGCTCCAGGGAGAGCTCAGAGCCCCTGCAGGGCATGAAGGGGCTCCAGGAGAGCTGCAGAGGGACTGGGGACAGGGCATGGAGGGACAGGACACAGGGAATGGCTCCCACTGCCAGAGGGCAAGGATGGATGGGAGATGGGGAATTGGGAATTGTTCCCTGGCAGGGTGGGCAGGCCTGGCACAGGGTGCCCAGAGCAGCTGGGGCAGTGCCAGGGGGGCAGCAAGCAGAGCCAGCAGGGCCAGGGCTATTCCTCCAGCTCCAGTCCCATCCCAACCCTATCCCCAGCCCCAACCCCATCCCAAACCCCAGCCCAAATCCCAGTCCCAATCCCAGCCCCAGCCGAAACCCCAGCCCCAGCCCCTGGGGATTTCCATACACTTTGCAAGGAACAGGTCACAAACCAAACACTTCTCATGCTGGGGCTCTATTTTCTACCCTGGCCTTCAGCCCAGTTCTATTCCTAGTCCAGCTCCAGCAAATATAGAAGGTGAGGGGATCTGGGGAGAGGGAAAGCCAAGCTGGCAGCATGGTGGCATTAAATCTGCCTTTTCCATTTCTCTAAACTGACTCATCTCCAATACTTTTCTCTCTCTCTCTCTTTGTTTGCCTTTTTTTTTGGTTTTTTTTTTTGTCTTGAACAAAATCATATTAAGGGATAAAAATATGGTAATAATGAACCAAGAAGTGTTGAAGTCTGGGCAGCACCTCAGGCTGTCCTGTGAGGGTGGCAAACACCATTGAACTGACAAAGACTGTGCAGGCTCTACCTGCAGGTTAATCCCAGGTCACCCACCTGAGCAGGACACTCTGGAGCACCTGAAGGAAAAACCCTGGTGCTGTGGTGGGTCCTGGAATTGTCTCTGTCAGTGACTCTGAGCCTTTTCCTGATCCCAGGTCAGCTCCTCGGGGAAGTTTGGGAGCCTCCTCCCCTGCCTCCCTCCCACCCAGGAATTTCTTCACCCAAACACTGCTCCTGTACTGGAAATAAATCAACTTTTAATATTTTACAATTACTTTAAAAGTTCTCTGCACAGTATTTTACAGATCAGCACAGACTTTACACAGATTTGCTGAGGCTACACAAATGTACAAAAACCACCCCGAAGAGACCTGGAATTCTCTCATTTCCAGGAAGTATCAGAGGTCAGAACCTTTGCGAGGATTGTGAGTCCTGGAGTTTAGGCTTGGTTTTCTGGATGAGAATTCTGTTCTCCAGGACTGCTGTAGGGCCAGCTGAGCCCAGAGGGATTTGTGTCCTGGCACGGATCCCTGGCATGGAATTGGCCACAGATCCCAATGAGCAGTGTTTGACAGGACAAGGTGCTGGTTTAGAGCCCTGAACAAGAACAACCCCCTGCCAAATTCCAGCCCCACAGGAGAGAACACACCTCAAACCTGCCTGGGGAAGGCAAAGGCAGAGAGAAAACCCTTTGGGGACCTCGGTGCTCAGCCCTGGCCCAGGCCAGGCTGTCCCCAGCCATGGCACAGTGGGACAGAAGGTGTCCAGCGGCCAGCAGAGCTGGGAGCGGAGCTGGGGGCAGAGCCAGGGCACAGGAGGGGTCCCACAGGGCTGGGGGAGTCCACCAGACACACCTGACCCCACTCCTTGGAGCCCCAGGAGCTCTGGCCCCTTCCCTGGCAGGCTGAACCCCAGGTGACGCTGCTGCTGTGCCACCAGGCTTGGGGACAGCGCCAGGAGCTCACCAGGTCCTGCTTCCTGCAGGATCCCCCTGGATCGACCCCACTGGGGCTGAGCCCTGCAGCCCCCAGCAGTGCCAGGGGTCCCTCCAGACACAACCAGGGGACACAGGACACTGGGATCAGCTCCTTGGAGCCTGCAGCAGCCCTTGTGCTGCCAGCACTGCTACAATCCCCAAAAACTGCCCAAAAACAGAACATTGGGATTATCTCCTTGGATTCTGCAGGAGCCCTTTTGCTGCCAGCACCGCTACAATCCCCCAAAACCACCCAGAAACAGCCTGAGGCTTTTCCAGTCTTATTTCTTCACTGATAGGGTCAGGTTACCCCTAAATATCCTCAAATATTGCACCTTTCTGTACCTGCAGCCTCGCAGAGAGGGGGAAGAGGCTGGAATGGTCGTGGGGGGGAGGATCTAAGATCCTGCTGTCACTGGCAGGTGTCACTGGGTGGGTTTGGAGCTGGGTCTCTCTCCAGCAAAGGTCCCCCTGCAATGGCCCAAAGGCTGTCCTGGTGCTTTCCCCAGTCCTTCCCTCCCTGCTGGGAGTCCAGCACAGATCCTGATGGATTTCCAGCAGCTGCTGAGGGCTCAGCCCTGGGCTGGCTCTGGCACACAGTGCTGGGAGCGGGATGCACAGCCAGGGGCTGGACTGGGAGTACGGCTCAGTGCTGGGACCCTGCAGGAACTGGGACACAGTGCTGGGAGCAGGGAGCAGGATGCACAACCAGAGGAGTACAGCACAGTGCTGGAACCCTGCAGGGATTGGGAATTCCTCTCCTGGCACACAGTGCTGGGAGCAGGATGCACGACCAGAGGAGTACAGCTCAGTACTGGAACCCTGCAGGAACTGGGAATTCCTCTCCTGGGGGCACAGGAAACACATGGACCCACCAGCAGCTGTCCTTGCCCTGGCATGACCTGTTGCGCTCAGTTCCCGGGGATCCCACACTGCAGGATCCCTGCTCTGCGTCCCTGCAGGACACTCCACCTCCAGAGAGGAAGGGAAACCTTGAGAAACCTGTCCCCATCCCAGGAAACTGTCCTGAGCATCCTCGCCGTGTGACAGGCGAAACACCAGCAGGACAGGGGTCATTTCACCAATACCAGGGCTCTGTAACTGCCCTGCACTGACAGACACCCGACACCACTGAGGTGAGGATGTTCCTCTCCCCAAATATCCCCCTGAGCTCATCACCCTTCCCCACACCCCACCTGGCAGGGAATATCCCTGTCCTTGCCCTGCCCTCCCAGCAAGTGCTGGATTTGCTGACCCACAGGCACCTCCTGAGGAACCCCCAGGGACAGCAGAGCACAAGGATTGATCCCATTTCCCGAGGAGGGGCTGAGCCTGGAGCAGCAGCTCAGCCCCCACGGTGACACCACAGTGACAGCACTGCAGGAGCCTGGAGCAGCAGCTCAGCCCCACGGAGACACCACAGTGACAGCACTGCAGGAGCCTGGAGCAGCAGCTCAGCCCCCACAGCGACTCTGCAGCAGCAGGAGCTCGGGGACAAGCTGGGCTGGGTGTCCTTTCCTTCTCCTGAGCCTGGGCTGGTGTGGCACAGTCTGCTCTGCAGGGACACGGCTCCTCTAGGGCAGTGCCCCGCTGAAGGTGGCAATGGGCAAACACAGCAGGGACTGGAACTCAGAGGGGTCCTGGGGAGCCACGGGGGAGCCCCTCAGTGTCAGGGGGTCACAGTCCCTGGGCTTGTAGCACACGGAGATCTCACACCTGCAGGGGAACAGCAGAAAACAAACCCTGAGTGAGATGGGGGCTGAGAAACCCTCAGGGGCACCAGGAATGGGCTGAGAAATGAGCAGAATGGGGCTGAGAGCCCAGCAGGAACAGGAACAGGGCTGAGAGCGCAGCAGGAATGGAGGTGCTGGTATCTGAGCAGGAGCCTCCATCCCAGCTGGGCTCAGAGCCTGGGGCTCCTATGGGTGGGTCAGGCTGCCCCATGGCAGCAGCTCTGGCTGCAGCTCCCACCTGGTAACGCTCTGCAGGATCTTCTGCTCATCCTGGTCCAGGCACACGGCGAAGGAGGACTGGACCCCGATGATCTGGACCTTGTCCACTTTGATCTGGGACACGCTGATCTGCTGAGAGGAAAGGCTGGAGTGAGGGAGCTGAGAGGAAAGGCTGGAGTGCCTGGGCTGGGCAGGGCAGCTGGGGGCAGCAGTGGGGCAGCAGCAAAGGGATGTCCCAAGAGCTGCTCCCTCCAGCCCTGCTCTCCTCCCATCTTCCCAGCTGTAAAAGTTCCAGGGCTGCAGTTACCTGATTGAAACTCTTCTTGGATTTGGAGTTCTGCCTCTTGACCACCTCGGTCACGGTGAGGTTGAGACATTCTGTCTTGGAGGCTGCAACAGAACGAAGCTGCCATGGGGCTCTGCTGGGACCCAGGAGGTGCCTGCACCTCCCAGAGCATCCCAGAACTGGAGCTCCAGCAGGATCCCAGTGCTGGGGGATGCAGAGCAGTCCCAACTTTCCTGCCCTGCTGCCAAATGTGCTCTGCAATTCCAGCTGCTTTCCAAACACAGCCGGACAGAACATTTAACCACCCTGGGCTGCAACAGGAAAAAATCCATCACCCATCACTGTGAGGAAAGGCTGACTGTCCCTCCACAGCCTCTACTGAGCCCACCCAGACATAAATCAAAAGTTTTGAGAAAGATTCTTCTTTCAAATGTGGATGAAAATATTTAGATGTAATGCAGAAGTCCGCAGCTCAAATATCTTCAGTTAGACATCTATATTTTAATATATTTATGCTATAAGGTGATTTTACGAGTACCTAACTTGTAATTTCTTCTTGAAATAATTGAAGTGCCTTTAGGATTTTTGAATGTATTAGAAATGTTCTTAAAGAAAATATTTCAGTATGGGTGTAGTTTAAACAATTACAACTATATTCCTGTTACTTTAACCAGCTGCTCAGGGTGGGCAGGGGCCGCTGCTCCGGGTGGGCTGCAGCAGCTCTGGAGCCTGGGGTGACGGTGACATCCCGTGGTCAAACTGCGGAACGGGAGAGCCACAGGGCCAGGAGGATCAGGTTCCTCTTGGAGGGACGGAGATTCACAGAGAGGGCTCTCCAGAGAGGAGCTGAGGGCGCCCCTGATGCCAGCCCTGAGCCAGAGCAGGAACATCCAACTCAGCATTCACAGGGGGTGAGAAACCCGTTCCTGATGCTTTTGTCCCAGGATTGGCTCCAGGGATGGGCAGGGGCAGGAGGGACAGTGGGGAGCTCCATGGAGCATCAGGGAAGTCTCCCGGTTGGTACAACACCCTGATTATCCTGCTGACAAACACCTGCAAAGCACAGGCACATGAGGAAAAGGTGCAAACCCACTCAGCTGTCCCAGAACTGGACGTGTCTGATGGCCAAAGCAGCAGCTCTTAAACAAGAACCACCCAAATACACCATGGACTCAGAGCCTTGGAGCTTTGGAAAGGCTCAAACCCTGATTAACTGTAAACCTGATTAGAGCACAGGTTCTGAGGGCAGGCCAGGTGGCTGGGAGCTGTCTGTGAGCTGCAGGAAGGGCAGCAGGCTGCAGCAGCAGCTCAGCAAGGTGTGCTGAGGGGAGCATGCAGGGCAGACTGCTGTGGATGCAGGAGCAGCACCTGGCCCTGGTCCTGACTCACCTGGAGAGTTTTACCTGCTGCTCCTCCTTGCCAAGTGCTGCTCTGGAGAGCACCACTGCCCAGCGACCAGCCTGTGTCTGAGCCATCCCAGCCCCATCCCCAGTGGATGTTTTTCCAGCTGGAAGCTTTGGGACAGTGGCACAGGACGTGTCCTTTGTCCCTGAGTTGATGCTGAGGACTGGCACACGCCCAAGGACCACAGCACAGCTGAGGGAACACCAGGGACTCCCACGTGTCTCCTGCATTCTCACCTCCCTCATTTTCCACCAGGAGATCCACAGGGTTCCCTGCCCCCCCGGTGCCCCCCAGCCTCCCCTGGCACTGCCCCCCCGTACCCACCGAGCTCCTCGTGCCTCCTGCAGGCCTTGCTGAGGTTGACAGACGTGCAGACCTTCTCCACGTCGTTCCAGTGACTCCTGCCACTGGCAGCTGTCTGCAGGGAGCAGCCAGAGCCCAGCAGAGAGAAGCATACAGCTGTTCAGCTTGGCAAAGCCTTTCAGGTCACATCCAACCCTAAATCTAACCCTGCTAAGCCTCAAGCACCAACCACACATCTTCTAAACATCCCCAAGGATGGTGACTCCACCACTGCCCTGTGCACCTGTGCCAAGGCTGGAAAGCCCTTTTAGTGAAGAAATATTCTCTAAAGTCCAATATAAACTCCCTGGGGTGCAGCTTGAGGCTGTTCCCTCTCCTCCTGTCCCTGTTCCATGGGAGCAGAGCCTGACACCCCCTCCCTGGCTGTCCCCTCCTGTCAGGAGCTGCGCAGAGTCACAAGGGCCCCCCTGAGCCTCCTTTGATCCAGGCTGAGCCCCTTCCCAGCTCCCTCAGCCCCTCCTGGGGCTCCAGCCCCTTCCCCAGTCCCATTCCCTTCCCTGGACATACTCCATCCCCTTCCCAGCCCCATTCCCTGCCCTGGACACGCTCCAGCCCCTTCCCCAGCTCTGTCCCCTGCCCTGGACACACTCCAGCCCCTCTATGTCCTTGCCATGAGTGTCCCAGAGTTGCCCCCATCCCTGGAGGTGCCCAGCAGTGCCAGCACTGACCTTGCTGTATGCAATCTGTAGTGTCAGTGGGATTGCTTCCCTGTCTCCATCTATTCCCAGCCTCTTGCTGCCTGGGCCTGCAGGAACAAGGAGCAAACATCACACAGGGGTTTTCACACCAAGCCCTCCCCAGCACACCCGGGACTGCAGGAAGAGGAAAAGGGCCTGCTGAGCACAGCTGAGGGCGAAAAGGGCAAAACAGAGAAAAGGAGGCTTAAAAGCTGCAGAAAGCAAAGAATCCAGAGAGGAATTACAACACAAAACCACTCAGCAGAACTGAAAGTGGCTCTGGCTGAGCAGGGGCAGAGGGGTCAGAGCTCAGGGAAGACACAGAGCAGAAAAGGCCGCTGTGCTCTCCCTGTTCCTGTTTGCTCAGGCAGATTCCTGCCCACGTTACACCAGCCTGGAGCACTGGGGTGACACTTCCTAACTGTTCTTCTTCCCCTGCATAAGTTTTTGCAGGTGTGAAGCAGTGCCAGACAAGCCAAGGGAAAGCACTGGAATCAGCACTGGTGGTTTCAGGGGTTGGGGGAAAGAAGAGCTATTTGCCTCAGCCTGGTTTTGGGGAGCAGGGAGGGCACATCGCATAGGGGGTAATTTTATGGGCTCTGCTCCGAAGGACAAGCTGAGCTCACACCAAACCATCTGGGTAAAGCCCTGAGGAACGCATTCGGGTGCAGTGCTGGGGCTGGCCATGAGGTGTCTGTGTGAGCTGCATTTCACCACAGCATCCCGGGCTGGGTGCCCGAGGAACTGCAGCCAGATGTCCCTGCCCCTGCTTCTGCTCTCTTAACAGCACCAACGTTACAAATTTGTGACATAAAAGCACAAAAAAATGACACTCGGAAGGCTCTAAGCACACACACACAAACCTGGCTTTGCCCAGTAAAACAAGGAGATGAAAAATGGGATTTTATCAGTGACACTTCTGGACAGAGCACAAAGAGCAAGCACAACAAGGAAAGATAAAGAGCTGCATTTGGCAGGTGCTGAGGAGAGGAAGGAAACGGGCTTGGAGGTGTTTTATTGTAAATCCATTCTAGAGTTCAGAGCAGCACAAACAATCAGGCATTGCCATGGTTTCACTCCTGGAGGGAATACAAACTGGGATGGTTCTCTCCCAGAGCAGTGAAAACCTGTCTGGATCTTTGCTCAGCCTGGCTCAGACAGCTCCCGCAGCCCAGGCTTCCCTTCCCCCTTCCCCCTTCCCTTCCCTGTTTCAGCCCCCCCAGGGCAGCTGGGGGTGCAGGAGCAGTCACAGACCTGAGGCCTTGATGGCCCTGGTGGCTGCTGAGTGCCCCAGCTCCAGGGAGTGGATGAAGACCTCGGTCCTCTTCTCGCCCCCGATGAAGGTGAGCTGCCAGGGGACAAGAGGGGACACGTGGGGGTGAGGGGACCCAGCCAGGCCAGGCAGCCCTCACTCCTCTCAGTCCTTGGGAAATGGGTCAGTTTGGGAAAATCCTTCTATGTTCTCAAAGCACCTTCCAGCTGCAGCCTGGGGTGGTGCCTGCCTTTAGCTGGACCCCAAAACAACCCAAACCCCTCGATTTCACTTAAAACTCCACTGCAAAAAACCCCAATGAGCCACCAGCAGGGTCTGGGAGCTGCTTTGGGAGCACAATTCCCGTGTGGCTCTGCTCACCAAGCCCTGTTTGGTTCCCAGGCACAGCACCAAAGCAGGGGCTGAACCCCAAATTCAGACTTCCCCACCACAGCTGCCCCAGGCATACAGTGAGGTGGGGAAAAGTCACCTCAAGGAGGGCCTTGGTTTGGGAAGCAGAGCTCTGGAGAGATTCCAGCAACCTGGAAAAGCTGGCAGCAGTGCCAGGCACTGCTTTGTGCATGGGGAAATGTGCTGGGGTGGAAAACTGCTCATGGTCAGGGCAGGAGCTGCTCTGAGTCTTGAGCCAGGAGCATCAGTCAGGGCACCAGGGACAGCCAGGGGACCCAGAGGGGACAGAGCTCTGCCTCAGCAAGATGTGGAGGCTGTGCCACACCCCCAGAGCTCCACAGGGAGCTCCTGGGCCATGGCACAGTCAGAGCCCCCTCCTTTCCCTGTGCCCACCTCGGTGGCACAGCCAGAGCCCCCTCCTCTCCCCGTGCCCACCTCGGTCTGGTAGAGCTGCAGCAGCACGGGGCGCGAGGCGAAGCGGCAGTAGTAGAGGATCATGTCTGCCAGGATGGGCAGCTGCTCCTGGGCATCCTCCTGGGGCTCAGCCTC